TGAAAACTACAATTCCCAATCGTGATCTTGTTAAAGTAACCATTCATTTTTAAGTAGTTCTTGAGGGTATAAATTCAATTGATTAAGGTGATTTATATAAATCCAGTGATACTCTAATCTGAGCCAAACTGCTTTTGCATGATCTACCTGCACTTACCAGAGTTGAAAAAAGGATAATCTCTCCTAATTTTAATTCAGTGGCGATGCTATTTACTGAATCAAATGCTACAATATCTAATCGTGATCCTGTGATCCTGCTAAAAAAATATCAATCATTAAGCAATTGCTGGTACTAAATATCTTATGAGAATAACTTTAGCTGATCGAGTTGGTTTGTATAAATCTAGTGATGCTCTAACCTAAGTCAGGTAGCGTTTACGTGATGAATCCATGTAAACAAGAGTTGGTCTAAAGTAAGCCAAGCTGCTTCTACATGATCATTCTACATAAATCAGTGTGTCAAAGTGATGGCATCCGTGAATTTCCAACTCAATGGGAGTGCTACTACCAGTTCAAAATCTACAATACCCAATCATTAGTTGTTAAAGTAACCATCTCTGGTTAAGCACTTCTTGATGCAATTCTTTAGATCATTGAGCTGATTTACTAGGATTTATTTAGGCTCATTTTGTGTGTCAAATATTTATTACCAGTACATTATAAATCTGTGCCCAAAAATGAGGACACTACCTACAAATTTTCGACTCGATGGTGGCGCTATTACATAATTGTAAACTAGGATACCTAATCGTTTTGAGTTCAAGCCATTAGCCGTCAGAGTGGATTTTGCGATAGAGAAACTTTGTAGAATAAGTTTTAACGTCAACCTCTACTTCTACTTTAGCTAACTGGTTCTTAAAATGACAATACCTTTCTAATTCGATTTTATAATGATGCTTTTACGTTATCATAAACTATAAATCTACAAAGTATTGAAACTATTAGTCATCCATCGGTAAGAATTTCTGAATAATTTAATTTTCTTGTCTGGATTGGTTAATATGGATTGATCTGTGCTCTAGCTTATTGCATTTCATGATGAATCCACGTTTTCGAAGGATGTTCACTACAGATCTCAACTCAGTAGCAATATCCCTACAAGATTGTAATTGATCAAAGCCCATTCTTTATAATTTGGCGTAGGACAAGACATAATCAGTTTTATATTTCCCGTCTGTAGGGTCAATTCGATCTCTGATTCTGCTTCGCCAGCTTTATAATACGATCATTTTACCTTGGAAAAGTACCTTCAATATTCTATGTTTTAGCTGTATTGGATTTGATGATGAATCCATGCTTTTAAAGTATGTTCATGATTGACTTCAACTCTGTAGCGATATCCTACATGATTATAATTATACCCGTATAATCAATCATAGCATATTCATTGTAACTTGGATTGGAATTAGGCATGATCAATTTCATATATTCCGTCTGATCTTTTATTCTGCTTAGCTAGCTTTAGTATGATCATTTTATCTGGGAAAAGGATGCCTTAAATATTTAGCACAGTAAAGATGCTTCATTATAATGCCATGCTAAACGATATTAGTATACTTTAATCTCAGATGGGTTTAAAAATTTAAATTCTAAGATCATCGTACCGAATTATAGTGCAGTACATGGAATAATTTCTCTCTTCTTCTACCTACATCGCCATCACTTTTCATAGTCAGCTTGATTTCGAAAATAACACCATCCATCTCTCTATCATCAACTTGGATAAATTATCATGGATCTGTATCAGCCAGAAAAGAATATAATTTACCCTCACACGATGAAATTGTCTTTATAAATGATAAATCATCAATCCGTAAAAATTTGTGGATATAGGTGGCATATTGCCACAATGGATTAATACATTTAATATAACTTATCTGATTCTCTCTGTCGTTAAATGAGTGGATAATATTGATATTTTGATTCGTCTAACAAGAAATCGGATTGATTATCCCATGAAGAAATTGAAACTCTAAACATTGAATCATAAATTCGTGAAAAATTCTAGATATCACCCACTTAGAATAGAGATTGCTTGATACATTTACTCTTACCTATCTTAATCCATTCCGCCGTCGAAGCAAATACCTAACGTTAATATTTTGATTTACCTAAGGAGAAAATAATTGGATTGGCTATCCCATGATTTAAATTCTGTCGGTACTGTAAACAGCGAATTATTAATCCGTAATAATTTCTTGATCTACCCAGTTATAGCCGAAATCGATCAATACTTGTGCCCTTAACCTATCCTATTTGTTTCTACCATCCAATCTTGGTAGATATCATTACTACTTGAAATTTTATTCGTAATGAGTAATTCATTAACCCAAGAAAAATTTTTAGTACTGTTAAATTAGAATAATTGACTATACCGCGTGCTTTCTAGTTTTGCCTATGCTCGTTGATTAGATTATCATATGAAATAGTTATGATCAATATTTTATTTGGAGAGAAATAATAGGATTGGCTATCACACAATATCGTTCAGGTTCCAAGGAGTAAATCAGTAATCCATGAAAATTTCTTCACATCGTTGGCTTATAATTGAGATCGTTCTAAGCATTTACTTTAGATTAGTCTTGACCGTTTTCATCATCAGTTTCAATAGATAATGATAAAGCTTTGGTTTTCTTGGTGAGCAAGTAATAGAATTATAAATAAATCTTGAGTAGTATTACCAGATTTATGTTTCAAATTTCATCCAAGGTGAAAAATAATCATCCAGCTTAATGCTTCCAATTATATTTATACCATTTAACTACTCACGAATGGTGTGTGGGTTGACATAATTCAGGGTTAAATTACAGGTAGTGATGGGTCTTACTTTCGTCTTTAGCTATACTGTAGTATTTTAAAGCATCCATTTGAATTGGCAATACGTATATATACAGCTAAAACTTTTGTGAAATGAATAAACTTTTATACCATTATAAAATATGGAAATTGACTCTATAGTAGCATTGCTTACGGTTATAAACAGGGGTTCGTTATTCCGTAATCGGTTCATGACATGATCAATCAGAGAAAATCTTGGGGTTTCATTACCACTGGAAGGTAGATAAACTGATTAATGCTCTTACTTTGAGGTATGAATATCTTTCTATCATCATTCATTTTGGATGGATATAAATATTTAGCTTTATCATCATGGAGTGGATACAAATTAATTTCCTATAGCATTATCTAACCTAGTCGATGTGGATGTAGATATTTAGCTCAATCGTAATGATATTACGGGTGCAAAATGCAGCCATTTCCAATAGAATTGTCCAGCAGAGTAGATGATTACCTTTACAATTTCTAGTGATCCAATCTTGTACATCTTAGTACATCATTGCCTTTTTGCTCTTTTTCTTCTAAATTGTTACCGATATTATGATTCAGAAGTTCAATATTATATATGTATATCATACATATATGGGGTTTTGTGATATTATGATTCAAGGATGCAATAATATCCTATATTTTGCTTGCGTTCCTAGATTTTGACTCATACTGCAATTGCTTTAGTAGTAAAATATCCAAATTTATTTCACTCTTTAGCTTTTATGTTCACAGTTTTAGGGATTCAATAATAAATATCTTCTGCCCACAAATAAAAATATTAATTCCTTTTATTGATTTTCTCGTACAGAAACTTTTGCTACCATTGCATTACTGTACTCTGATTCTCGAAGAAAGCTACAGTATGATTTAGTAATTGAATAAAATTATTACCATAGAGAGAAATAAAGTAACGGGCCTTTACAAGCATTCCTACGCTAAATTTATGCTGCAATTGCTGTTATATTTATTCTAGAACTGACTACCTTCCTTCCATTCCTTTTGCTGTTATGTTTACAGTTTACAAGATTCATTCATTAATATTTTCTATAGTAAAGACTTGGTTTAATAATATTAGTTCCCGTATATACGCATTCTTGGCTTGAAAGTTTCTATTGCTATTATACTTATAGTAGAAGTGATTGAATTAATTCCACAAGTTCAGACTTTATAGTCGAGATTTTAATAGCTTATATCCATAATTCGACAATGAAATCTTTCCAAATCCATTTTTTTAGACGTGTATTCATTTCTCACCCTCGTTGAACTATATTCATTTTTATTAGTACCAGCATTGCATTCATGTCAAAAGCATTATAGGTAATGTCGACATTTTCTTGCATTTTTAAATTGTTTTTGTTGTTGTTCTTTACTCTAGAATCATAGTTTTCGTCTACTTTACCTCCTTAATTCAATCACTGTGTTATTATCGATGGATAATTTTCTTCCCTCTTATCTACTACCCACACCTTTCTATTCTCTGCCAAATGCCCCCTTTTATGTGGATGATTCATCGACAATAGCTTAATTTAAGTTAGGCTAGATCAGCTTGGCTCTATCTCATGCTATATCGATACTTTCTTCTATCGATTAATTAATAATATGATATTGTATACAAAATAGGAGTATTGTTCAACATTGAAACAAGAAGAGGAGGCATTTTAAAAAGAGTTCTACATTCAATTCAAGGAGAATCAAGAGCATATGCCGGAACAAGCATATTGAAGGAAAAATAATACTGTGTCATGGTTGATTTTTTACTTTTTTCAATTGGTATTTCTCTTTATTCCAATCTTTATTGAAGTTGATATAATCTTGTCTGGTTATAGAACTCTTTTGTATATTCCTTTCCCAGTTGTATTCTTTCCTAATTTAAGGAAATTACCCAATTGGATTATCGTAGCAAAGGAAGTAGAGAGTAAAAGAGAATAGGAATATGATGACATTATTGAGCAATTTATGTTACTTTATTACTTATTCAATTCCTCTTACTCTCTAACTTATTGTTGAATTTATAACGTCTACTTCCAAGATTAACCATTTGACTATTAGCAGATCAAGAACGTGATCTATTGATTCGTTGGATTCTTATTTAAATCGATTTATTTAAGTCTATTCAAGTGATTCTATTCAACCACTGTGTAAATCAATACTAATCAGGAAAAATATCCAAGATGAGCCGAAGAACAAATGTGGCCATGAAGACTAGAATAGTCAACGGAGCTGCTGATAAATTACTACAGCTTAAAGTGGATAAATTAGAATTAGAGCAAACTAATTCATTAGATGTCTTGAAGAAACAACAGCGACAGATTAAAGATGAATTATGTCGTGCATTAAGGATTAATAAATCGCCTCAGACGAGTATGACTTTACCCGTTCATAAGCAAAATATTAATCGTCGTCGAAGTGCATCAGCTATCGTGCTCTCATCAGATATGGAAGAATTTCATCATAGTCAAGCTGAACAAGCTAATCCACACCATAGCGGAAATCGATCTCGTGCTGAAAGTATGAAACCAATCTTAGCTTCTTCCATCTCGGTACCTGATCATCGATTATTCAGTTGTACAAATGAAACAGCTAGCCATCAAGAACCAACAACAACTCCAACTTCAAGATCAGCATCATGCTCATCATGGTATGGGCAAATCGATGATGATGATGATGATATCGAAGAGGAAGACCATCATCATCATGGTTGTAGCCATTCTCCAAAAGGGATAAAAGGCAATGCACGTAAATTACCTAAGCCAAATGTTAAGATTTCGTTAGAACTCGATGGCGGCAAGATTGGAAATCGTGCTACTCATCATCATTCATCTTCTCATAAAACTTCAAGTCAACGATTAGAACCTTTATTTAATAATAAAAATTCATTTTTATCCGTGGAATTATCAACACAAGTCATGACTAACGGTAAAAAAGGTGGAAAGCAAAGTCGATCTCTCACCACAGTGGACGGTAGAAAGTCCCTTGACCGTCAACAACATCAACAGCAATTAAGCCTTCCACCTATGAGGAAAGCATTGTCAAGCGGGTCTATTAATTTAATTTCCAATAACAACAACTAGAGAAAACGTAATGGATAGCTACAAGATTGAGTCTTTGTCTCCTAAACATTGTTAGTGTAAGAATACTTTTCCAAATTCTACTATTACAGTACTCCTATAGCCCGCACAGAGAATTTTTGAACCAAAAATTTGGGAGGAAGCTTAGCCATACTTTATGTTAACAAATATCAATCGCAAATCATAGCAAATTGATGCGAAAGAATACCACAAAAAAGAGAAGATCAAGGCTTTATTACAGCCGATACATAAAGATGCAGAATCCATGATTAAATTGTAACAGTTTCATAGCTACTCATATAAATAGTTAGGAATAGTCCTCATAAAGTTGTATATACATATACCCGTGCATGCCATGGATATAAGATGGAATATAAAGTTATTCCTATTATAATGAAAAATCACGTTTGAATGTTTACAAATGATATTTGTTTACTGGCGGATCAACTCGATTTATTGCAGTAATCCATCATCTATAATGTCAATATTAACGGACGATGGCGGATAGAATTGGATGGAAACCTGTATCAAGATTTAGAAATTGATTTCGTGATCAATTCTCTGACAGCCAGTTCAAAGTGCATCATTATATGAAATAAGAATTCTACAGAAAGAAGAGAATCAAAAAAGGCTTTTGGAGCCATTTATTCCCTACTCTTTAGTACAAATCCAGCGTCGTTATGTATCTCGCACATCCGTTTACTTATGGGCATTTATCATTGATCACAGAATAGCGGATAGAATTGGACAGATGGCCTTATCAGGATTTAGAAATTTATATTACATTAAAAACAAGGCCCTATTAAAATTGATTAACTCAATATTGAGATTCTTCTGCACCATACGTATTTGACAGCCAGTTCAAGATGGAATAAAAATCCTGCAAAAAGAAGAAAATCAATAAGGTTTTTAGGATCATTCCTTCTCTGCGCTGTAGTGCATATCCGACATCATTATGTGTCTTGGTTGTGAATTTATTTATGTGTATTTGTCATTGATTATAGATGCATGGTACTAAAATAATATAAGATGTTATAAACAAGTCGATTCTATAGTCTATTGTCCAAGAAATGAAGATTTTGGAAGAAGATAGAATTAGATAAAAAGCCCTATATCTTATTGATTATACATTTTTAGACAGTGGTCATAGAATTACAGATGCAGATGTTGTGATATTGAAATCTCGCGACGGAGAATTTCTGTATTGTTATACATCGATTGATTCAATCAAAATCAAGTCAAGTTTACAGCTTATTTCCTATCAAATCAATATTCTACAAACCAGATAAAATTGGATATAAGCTCAATAACTTTTTGCATATATATTCATATACTGGTATCGCAAAATGAAAGATGAAAATACGATAGATTAAAACGTGTAACGATAGAGCATTTAGCAACTACTATACATGGAATTGTTCATATTTGGAGTAGCCATTTTTGTAGTCTATTGCCCATCTTGGTAATACTTTAGAACCATAGATAAAATTGAATACATACCATATCTTCTAACTTATACAAGAGCATAAAGGTTACTACGAGCTTATGGATGCTGATATTGCAGTATAAATTACTAGAATGGAGCATTTCGCTACTAAGATACGTCGATTTATACACTAGTGATCAAGCCAATTTTATTGTCTATTACCCATCATAACATCAGTCTAAAGCCTAGTCAGTATCTAGAATTCTATAGTAACAGTAAAATTCTTTGTTTTACTTCAACGTCCAAAATAAAACCAGTCCTGTCCGTATATTATCGTATTAGACCACTGACTCTATTCTAACGATATAATCTAATGGCATGTATCTAGAAAGAGAAAATGGAAATTCTGATTTTGATATTTAATTCAATTATTAAGGCATTCATTTGATAACAAGACCTCCTTTTCGTACTAATATTCGTGGGTAATTATCTCAAAAATTACAATTGTAAGATAGAAAAAGTACGTAATTATAAAGGTTTGACCAGATGCTTATTTTAACTCACGTTAACTTAAAGAATTGATGGCCATATAACAAGGTTAATTAATTATGGATATCAGGGTGAATTTGGATAAATATTCTGTAAAGATACAGAACTTATTGTTTAATCTGGATTTTATACTTTTCCAATACCATATCTTTTCCATAATGAAAGCCTATTCAAATTAGTGACATGCCTTTGCATTGACTGTCAATATATGGCTACAATGCCACAGAATATAAAACTATATGATAAAGAAAATGATTATAATGATTGTTTGTTCGTATCAAGAAAAAATATACATCATTTTTTTATTGGATAGTAGAGGACAAAACTTTTAGTAAAAGTTAAAGACTTTAATATATCATTATAAATTATAGTAGATAAAGATTATATGAACTAAAATTATTATGCTATACCTCCACGATGGGCATTATTATTGTATGTTTTTGCGCAGAAAATCGATCATACAGAAAGAAATACGTGAATATGTATAGGTAAATTTACCAGTCCCATGCTTACATACGTATGGCCGGATCCATTTATCTACAGACTAAAATTTACTGCTCTGTGACATATAAAAATTCCTAAAGACAGCCAATACAACATCTCATTTATGGAATAATAAATACTACCAACGTAAAGAAAAAATGTCAAAGTTGAATAAGCATTAAGTATTGGATCTTGAAATGATTATGCCTCCACGAATTTCAATTTTAAAAGTATCAATCAATCATATTTAATGAATCATAAGGATATTCTACAAGTATTATAAGAGACCTGAGATAATGTTTAAAGTTTTGATCCGTAGGAAACTATTTGCATAAATATTCATATTTGATCCTCGATAGCTTTTTAATTTATTAAAAATAATTCTTGCAAGACTACTGTGCAGAGCATCTACATTAAAAATTTAGTTGAAAATTTCCCTTTAGAAGGATACTAAGGTTTTAAGATTTTATGCATAAACTATAGAAATTAATGGTTTAATTAAGCAAATAGCAAATAGTAACTAGCCAGCAGAGTGCAATCCTTAATTTTATCTAAAGGTTTAAATGCTAATACCGCCAATTTAGAATTTTATAATATGACTCTACTATTTTATACGTATTTGATCAGGGTATATATCCCAAATTTATAATTTAAAATGATCTACTATTTTGGTCGCTACAAAGCCTAATGATATTATAAATGATTCTTTTTCAATTATCATTTTTGACATCATTTTGTCCATTATCAGTATTATCAGAGGGCGACTACTAACATAACTTATAATAATAACATAGTTGGCTAGATTGTTATCTATAATTAAATCTAAATCATTTTCAGTCCTTGGTGTAATTTTGTCCCGTTGCCTACAACAATTTTTACTTTACTTCATTGGGTAATAATAATGCAAATTGCAATTTCAATGAGTAAATCATACTGTATCTGTTTATCTGACACTCTTCGTAACGCACATAATTAATTTAAATATCGGTTAAAGAATAGGTAAAGATATGTAAGAAAATCAAAATGCTAAAAATACATTACTTATTTGATCTTGCCACTAGATATCTATCAATGTAGATCAAATTTTTTTTATTTCTTCCTATTTACTACGAAGTTGATATTTCATGGCCGCATGATCTCTTTTTGGTAAGAAAAGAATGTATAGAATTAGCTTGTTACCTTGCAAAGAAATTTAATTTATAATTTGGTGTTGAAAGAAAATGGTTGCATAGCAATCTGAAACAAATAGAACGCATCATAAAATTAGTTTAATTATTTCTATGTCTATATCATACTTTCAATATAATAATTTATATAATTTATCACTTTAAAAGTATCTAGCAGCATTAATATTTTAAAAATTAAAAATTTGATTATGAAATGTTTAATGGTAGCACAATATAAATAATAGAAATTCTCTAATATGTTATCCATCACCAGTAGATTAAATCATATATCCTGACACAGTAATTTGCTGCAATTAGCCTTAAAGAATAACAAATTTAACGGTAATATTCTAATTTTTCATGTCAATATTTATATCATTAAGATTGATTAAATGGTAAAATATTAACGCGTTATTGGAATAAAGCTATGGATATCTCGGATATTTAAATGTCTATTTTTGAGTATTTAAACTTAGTATTTAAATTTTATGGAAAGAAATCGAATTTGATATAGGCATAAAAAACTGTAACTGCAATTACTTAATAATTTTTTATTTACAAGTAAATTTATTATGTTCTCTATTAGCTTATATTAGGAATACTATCATTAAATCCGTTCTAAAAATGGACGCTGACAAAATAGGGTACTTTAGTAATACTGCATTAGCTTACTTCGTAGTATTTTATCCAATTTTAGTCGACAGTAATTGATTAACCCTGACTCAAATCCCCTAACTCCCACCTTAACTCGTATTAGGAAGTTCTACTTGGTTACCATGGTAAGGGATCTGAAACAAGATCTAACCTGTGATTTTCATACAGAGAATATTATTCTTATAGAAGATGTTATGTACTAATCCGGTATAATTAGAACTACATTAGAGCATACTTTTGAGATAGCAACTTGAGATAATAATGAAAATATATTAATATAATCTTTCCTTTTTTAGTGTCTTATTGCAGCTTTCGGTGATTCTCCTACACTTAATATTTCGAATAGTAACTAAGGAAGAATGCCTGTCAATAAAAATCATCTATAATTTACTCATATCTTGTTTGCAGCTATTGTGCTGTACTGTAATGATTTCAATTTTACTGAAATATTTCCAACACCAAAGGAGGTCAGGCGTTAAGCTTTTTGCTTTGCCCGTATTTATTAAAGATTGCTACTATAATTGAGCACGAATATACAGTAGATTTATAACACCTGCGTAGGCACAAGGAAGAATCTTTGTTCGAAGGTTCTATCAATACGATAGCTATAACACATCAAATAGAAGATAATTGATAGCTCATTTTTAATTATTAATTAATAATACAGATTATTGACTGGAAGCGCTGTTTTTTTCTCGCTAGATCAAGATACTTACACCGTGATCATAATACTGTTTTTTAACATAACGGACCTTAACCGATGGCAATTTTTTACTTTCTAGTTATCTCTAGTGGCAATAGCTGTTATCATCAACTGTCATATATTCTGGTCCGTAGCAATTTCACTCTGAAAAGTTACTTCCTCTAGCTTTAGTATTATTTCTAAATTTATGATTTACACGGCTAGGATTAGGGTTTTGCGGGTATAGTAGATCACCGACATTGATCCTGTATATTGATATATACACAGTTTATAGTAAAATTTACCTCCTTGATTTGAGAATTAGAATTCAACTTTGTGAGCATTCCTTTACGTTCTTAGCTTTACAAATGTTTCTTCATCGTTAGCAGATAGTGCTTTGTACATTTGTAAAAGTTTGTCGTTGTATCATTTCTAAGAAATTTTACTTAGAAATGATACAACGATATTTTGCAGTGGTAAAGTATAGCTTGATAATTTGTAAATGAGTTAAAATTACACAACGAGTATATTATGTATTAGACAGTTCACTAATCTTATTTTCAGTCATTGAATACGCCCATAATTTAAAGGAGTTTTATTCGAACATTGTCGTGTTTATGTCCATAATCAATCGCATTTTATTCTTGGTTTGCTAAATTTGACGATGTCAATTCGATTTCAATTTCTTGCAAAGAACGTTAGAACTCTTAGAAGTATAATTTTGATAATTACGTGCATGATAAGTAAGTAAGGTCGTATAATGGCAATAATGAATAATTTGATAGTTTTATGATCGATAATGCTATATATTAAGAACAGGGAATGAATATGGTGGATATAAATTGGTAAATACCGTAAGGGAATCAATTGCTACTATAAATATTTTCACCACTTGCATATGTATAATCTTACAACTATTTTATCATATTTGCTCCTCAATAAAACAGCAACAATAAAGCAATTCTACATGAATGTCAGAATCGCTAAAGGCAGTACTAGGTACTCTAGGAGAAATAATTAACTCCAGCATTTCAATATTTATCTTAAGGCTTATATCAACTGATGCTATTCAAACGGTTATAATGGTATTTCTATCATGATGTTAACAAACACTATCAATATGATAGCATTCACACAACTGTCTTTATTATCGTCAACAGTTGTCAGTTTCTATGTACAAATATAAAGTGTAAAATATATTATACGAGGAGCCGCTATTATAACGGAATCATAAACTCATTTTTCATCGACCAGTCGATAAAATGTGCGCAAGTCTGTCGTTTTTTGGAATCAGAAATCTTTTCAGCTATGCCATTTAACTTATAAAAATTTAGTTTCCCATTATAAGGCAAGTACCAAAAATAGAGTACATCAATTTCGATTATGATTATTTCAATTCTATTTACAGAATCTAGTAGATTAAAATTTATAAATTTACGAATTCTGCTAGAAGATGCAAGCATTACAGGTTACTATCTTAAACTACAGTATTGCTTAAGTGATTAGTCATAATTATAATCGATCAATGCAGTTAATGTCCTTCAACCTTGGCAGAAGGAATTTGTTATTCTACAATAATCAACAAGCACTTGAATAAATTAATAAAATAAAAATGAGAGAAACGCCTTAAGGATATCCACTTTTCGCAAAGAGTTTCACTGGAAGTTGAATACCGTGGCTCATTTTATACGGCTTTGAATGAAATTAACAGATAGAAATGATAGTAACGATTACAGATGGCTGAAATATCAATAACGCCATGCTTGACATACAGGTTTATTAGAACCACCGATGAATGTAAGTGTAGCTTTGCTCATCTGTCGTTGAGGGAGAACAGATGCAAGTGATGTATTTTATTACTCCTTATCACCACAGCGATAATGATCGTTTCAAGACCGACCAAACACTATTGGATAATTGCGATTGCACCTTTTTATCGGCTACTACTTCTTGACATACATGCTTGCCTAATTCAATGGATTGATGCGATACCACATCAGATGCAATGACATCCCTTAGTCCAAGGGCAACAAAATCCTTAGTTTGTTGACTTCCAATGACATTGTTCAAAACACGTTGTAGTGTTGCTTGTGTATTAGCATCTTTCATCAGCATTTCCATATAACTTAATAGTTTGTTTTTTGTAACTTCATCTTGCATTAACTGATCCAGCACTTTCTTTGACAATATTGTCAGTTGTTGTAATGTGTGAGGATCGTTGATGACATAGATTAATAATCTTTGTAGAGCTATTTTTGTCTCTTGTTGCTCTGCTAACTGAGTAATAAATTTAATAGCGGCATTTTGTGTTTGCTCATCATTCAAGATATCTTGTATCAATGTTTTGGAGATGATATTGGCCTGATTGACTACCTGAACGTCGCTTAACGATCGACTGGCCACATCGGCCACTTCATCAGCCATATTTTCACGTATATATTCGCGAAAGATGTAGACTGTTAGAAACAAAAACATGGTAATGCCAATGGTTAATTTAAATGCCGCATTTCCATGAGATCGTATGAAATTTTCGATATCATGTCGACTAAGGACGATTGTAGTATGTTGGCTATGGCTAGAAGATTGTGACATATTGACTTTCTTATCTGGTTTGGCCATCGTACTGAAGGAAACGTTTGATTTGAAGCGATTTAATATTGAACTGTTGAAGATTAGTGGCTGTTTCAACCCGCCATGACCGTATCGATCAGAATTGAAAGTGAACCACTGTTGGCTCCCTTTTGGACTATGTATCATCATCATCGTTCTCCGAAGTAGAAGTGAACCTAATGGAGGTGGAACGATCAACGATTGTGCTCGTATGGAAGACGGGAATAGTAATCTTGTTTGCATGATGATTGCAGATTGATTTGCTGTAGGTAGAAAAGATGGATTAGCAGTTCTTGCTGCTGTACATGGAACGATACACGATTTTACGACTGACTGGGATAGAAATGTTGTTTGCATGGTGGCCATAAGTTGATTGCTTGTTGCAACAAGAGATCGATTACCCAATGTTGCAGCTCCCCATGAATTCAAAAAGCATGGTTTATATAATTGAGACAGTAATCTTGCCCACATGGTGATTTGTGATGGATGAGATCTACAACCTTATTAATGATACATCGATAACCTTTTTCCGATCCAGTACTAGTTTGTGTTTCCAAAGTAGGAAATCATCATTGAGTTATAGACAATGACGATTGATCCGTTGTAAGATTCTGTTGTCGTTTTTAATGGTTTTTTTCCTTTTTCAATCCTCTGATAGAAGATAGGGTGAGGACTATGGAGGAGAGCGGAGTGATCATCCGTATTCCTTGATAGACCTTCCAATGAATCGCGGAGAAGTTTTCTACTCCAACGAGCAGAAAATGACGCAATCGAATGTCACTATTTTGCTATCAATCAATTATGAATGGTTGAAAAGTAATTTCATCGACTAGAACATCGATAAGGTAATCTTGGATAGCAACGAAATGGTGATCATAACATAGTCAATATGGAGTTGAACAGAGGCAAAAGATTTGTTCTTCTTTTCGATGATTTGCCATCGCACTTTCAGATAAACATCATGGCTAGAAGCCTAGAACTTAGAAGTGATTCCGTGATTCCTGCAAGGATGGACAGACCGAAAGGATCGCTTCGCCGGCTATGGTACCGTACCGCTTGCAGCTGGAGTACTGTACACTGTAGCCAGTGTACTGTAATGTTTGGAGCCGAATACTGTACTGTACAGTATAATGACTACAGTATAGAGAGAGAGAGAGAGTTTATTTCATACAGAAAGAGTAGAATGATTGGAAAATCCTAGCAGAAGAAACAGAGAGAGTCAGCATGATATCGATAGCCTCCGTTGGTACTGTATAACGTGGACAGGACCTTTTCTAGCCTTTCAAAGGTCAGGTATTCAATGGGTTTAGTCTAGTGTGACAGACAGGCGGACATTTGTACATTACTGTATTGTGCAATTTACTGTATTGTACAGTACTGTACACTCAGTGTACTGTACACTGTACACTGTACAGAAAAGGAAATGGTACCGTTTTTACCGTTATATAGGACTACAGTAGAGAGAGAGAGAGAGCTTATTTCATACAGAATGAGTAGGATGATTGGAAAATCCTAGCAGAAGAAAGAGAGAGAGTCAGAGAGTAGCAATCATATCGATAGCCCGTTGGTGTAACGTGGACAGGACCTTTTCTAGCCTTTCAAAGGTCAGGTATTCATTTGGTTTCATTTGGACATGACAGACAGGCGGACACCCTGTGCGTCATCATGTACAGTGTACAGTACATTTTACAGTACTGTACACTTCGTGTACTGTACACTGTACAGAAAAAGGAAATGATACCCCTAGAATGGTACTAGTAACACTGGTGATGACGACTTGGCAGAACTAGCAGGGACTACTGAAGGCCGTCTTCAGTTCGACTTGAATACTTTTCTTCATGACTGTACAGTCTCGATGAGGGTATAGTGAACTGCAGTTACTCATAACGTACCATGTACTAGTACTAATGTAGCCATCGGCGATGCCTCTTCGTCATCTACACTGTCTACGATTCGCTTCCTTGAGTACTCCTTTACTTACAGTACGATACAGTGTACAGTGTACAGTACACTGAATGTACACTGTACTGTACACTGTACAGTACACTCAGGTCTAGACTACAGTACAATACAGTACTGTACAGTATGTACAATACACTACTATTATATTATACTGTACGCTATCGTTGTTCGATTGTGCCAATGTACAGTAATACCGTACTACTGTATAAACTTGTAATGATCATGCGCTGTCAGTGTGAACGGCGTACGTATATACTGTACTGTATAGAAGCCGCCGCTTTTCAATGCTATCAAGAGAGAGCACAGTGAGTAGTTAGTTTGGCAATACCTCCAACGACGTCTTCAATTTCTTGTCTGTATGCTAAGTGAGAGTAGTACCAACTTTCAATACAGCTATCGTGATACACAACTACTACAGTATATGGTACTGTAAGATGGAGTACTGTACACTGTACAAGTACAGTACTGTACAGTACTCCATGACACCGACACTTTACAGTGTACAGTACACTGCACCAACAGCAATACACTGTACACTGTACATTGCACTGGACTGACAGCAGGAGGACAAGAACCTGGCTGCGCAGTGCGTACTGTGCGCAGCCAGCGTGATTAAGCAAGCAATCATTGAAAGTAATCCTGCTCAATTAGCCTTGCAAGCTCTTGCAACTTATTCATCATTGATACAGTGGGTGCTTAAAAGACTTCTTTTACTTATTACAGTGGTAAACCATTGCATTAGCCAGCTATTGCGTACTTGTAATTCATCTGGATTACGGATAGTTGCCAATCAAGTGGCTAATAATAAGCTTGACTAGCTTCTCTTTCAATCCATACTGTGCAATATTCGTGTCCATTGTGCAACGTTGAAGGAACCGTCATGGTCAAATCTTCAGATGATATTGTGTAAGTCGATGCCGTTCCGTGTGCTATAGGACGTATTTTGCATTGGATTGCTACAGCAATAAGAAATGCTTTTCCAAAGAGGATTGTAGCCAATAGAGTGACTGACCTAATTCATCGTGTATCATCTTTTCCTTAGCAAACCCAAAACCAAGCGAGGCAAACGAGCCTTGGAACAACGAGAAGCTAAAATCAATGAAAATGCAAAGAAAGCTTTATTTCTACGCGGTACAAAAACAAGTGAAGTCGTCTCGCAAGCCATGAAAGATTGGGTAGGTCTTGTGGACTATTTCCAAAGCAGCCGTATGAAATAATGAAATTATTACATTGTATGATAGGCTAACCACTCGGATAAGCATGTACAGTCATAGTACTAGTACGATACAATACTGCACAATCAAAATATCCTGTATAAAAATGGAAGGCGCCCGAGTAGCGACTTGCTGTAATCTTGAGCACTCAATAGCTAATAACTATACTATCCTTTTTATTCATTACAATTGAATCTGCAGTTACAACTGAAAAAACCCTTTGCTATATCTTATCAAAAGTAAGTTTACAGGTTGTACATTTGCATATCTTGGCACAGCGATTGCTTCTTGATTAATCTTACCTTCAATCGATGTTATCCCCAAGGAAATGACTGTTGTTAATATTGTATCCATTTTTTTGGACTACTGTATCTTCACAGGAGAAATGAAATTAGACCTTTTGAAGACCAAACATCTCTGGTATGTCTTGTTCATTTATTCTACTTCATATTTTCCATGGCTGCCATGGACTTCATTAACGTATCAACATTCTAGCAATGAGACACAATGCAATGTAGCAAGACCTCTCAATGGCAAAGTATTAATATTTAATTTCTTTCCGATCTCCTCTGTCCATAGGAATTCTTCTCCAAAAAGTCAGACGCTTCATTATTCGTATTTGGTAATCATACTAAAAAACGCCCGCATAATTTAATCTTAGGTATGCCATTTTCCTCCATTTCATGATCAAAATGCAATCTATCAATCAATCAATAATTATTATAAACGTAAATTCTGGTAATTTCTATCTTGAATACTGGTATATGTCAAAACTATAGGAAGAATGTATGATTACCACCTATTAGACATGTTTGAATTGGGCATTACACAGTTTCAAGCTCTGCGAAATTTTAAGGTATATTCTATAGACTACGAGACCTTTGTGATATTGAGTACATTCAAAAATAATCATTCAATGTCTCTCTACCCTTTCATACAGGGTATTAAGTCAACCCTTGGATGCAAACCATGCTTAATTTTTGCTGGTGAAGCTTTTGAAACTCAAACTGATTATATACGTCTTAAACATATGCTTCTTGGTTGGTTGAATTCCAGTCACTCTATTTTAATAATAATGAATTATTTCGTATTCATTCTAGTGTTTCAACTCTCTCAATTTCAATGATCGTAACTTGTCGTATATATCTCGTAGACTTTTTTCGAGGCCCAAAGGTTGACAATATTCGGTTAAATGGTTTAGAACACGTTATTCACATCACAGCTTTGAAGGAAAAGATTCTGTTTCGATGTTATAAGTGAGTTTTACTCATTTTGTAATCAATACTAAGTTGACTTGAGCTAGCTGCTCGGCCATTGCCCTTGCAACATAATTTCTAAGTTAATTACACGTTATTACCCTTTCTTGTGGTTAGAGTTTTGCTTAAAAAGTCAGGTACTAAGACACCGCGTGTCGAATTACAAGAAATGGGACCTAGCATCGATTTTGAACTTAGAAGAACAAAATTAGGTTCAGAAGAACTACTAAAGGAAGCCAGAAAAGTACCCAGAGTCCTAAAGGTATAGTACTGCATAGAATAGAGACCTGTATACAAGAATTGAACACCTTTGATGATTGTTCATCTATCGAGAGGCTTACCATTTTCTTTCAATTGAATTCTATTAACTTAGCCGAAAAAAGAGAAAAATATTTCTCATGATACATTTGGAGCGAAACTTGGCCGTGTACATATCCAATCACAAAATTTAAGTTCTATTCAAACTCGTAAAATGAAGGCATTAAAGCGTAAGAAAGAAAAGGATGTTGCTAGTGTAGACGCAAAGAAGGCCAAAAGTGCAGCAACAGAATGAATAAGCACCAATGCAGTTTTAGATAACATTTTTTATTACTGATAACACTGAGGCCTGGCCTGCAAGGTGAAAATAAAGTTTTGTTACTTTATACTTGACCACCTCTATTATTTGTGTAAAACTACTTACATTGATTACAGAATCTTGTATATTACAATTGCTATTAGATACCGATCATTGCGTTGTATATATATATATATATACAAAGTAGAGCTACTATAGCTTGTAATATGGCATGTAAATTGCTAGATTAGAGGGAGTCTTCCACGTTACGCTGATAATTATTAACCTTAACTTCGTGATAATCATGAGAATAGATATTTTGCAAAGCTTTTTCAATTTTGTACAAAGTAGACTAATCTCCAATGTACCTGACGGCAATGATATTCAAGTTTAACTAAAATTGAGTGTCAATGATGGCAAACATTTTATAGTGTTTCAGAATAATATAAAAATTTCGGAGTAATGTCAAACCATGTTTGTATTGGTGTAATTACAATAACGTATACATCATGAAATCGTCTTGAAAGCTACTCTTCTAGGAGTTTTAGTAGGAGATATACTTGACTGAGTACTCTGCGACAACGTAACTTTATCGCTTTCTTCAGAACTGCTGGTGGTATCACTGGATAGTAGTTCGATTTTATTTGCGCTGTACTGATGCAGGTCTTCATTTTTTGTGCTTTCACGTTTTTCCTTGTTTTGACATGAATCGCCACTTTCAGAGTTGGTATTTTTATTAGTCACCGGTGAGAGAGTAATTAGAGTTGCCCTTTTAGTAGTGGTCACTTTCGGTGAATCATTCGCTACTTGATTCTCATTACACTTAGTGCTTGAAGTAGGCGATTGCCCGTTTAGGGTACCAAGAGTAATTAGTTTCGCTCTCTTTACAGGCTTAACCGGGGTATCATTTAACTGCTGATTACTCGTCGGAGACTTTGCTCGAGAAGGTGTATCATGTCTTGCAACTTCTAATTCGCTATTTCCATTCATCTTTAGGGGCGTCTTGTCTAATTCTTGATCAGATATTGACGAATTAGGAGACTTTACATCATCAGTACATACGAGTTTCCTTTTACTTGCAGATTCTACCTGGGGCTGTAATATAAGAATAGAACATACAATCAGGAGTAATAATGAGTAGTCCAGCAAGACACCATTATTCAGACTATGCCAATTTCATCAATGAAATATAACAGGACGGAATGCATGTTAAGAGAAATTGTTTAATTAGCGATAGTATATCCTATTACATGTATTAGTTTGATGCTAATGCTATAACCCTAGCTCAGAAGGCTTTCAATATAAATACAAACCTGAGGATTATCGCATAATTCAAGTTGACGTTTAACACCTAATTCGTCATCGGCAAAGGCAATAAGTGAACAATATCCATCTGCTGATGAAACAACCAAGAATTTTGCATCATGTGACCTAAAAGCAGAGAAAAAATTTCCGTACCATTGTCAAAGGCACGTGAATTACGTAGAATGTCTACCAAAGATAAAACCATCTTACCAAGCAATATCAGTTAAGGCTGCGTAGTGGATACACGATATATATGCAAATGGCAATTTCTGTTGAGTATCGTATAAAATGACAGAATCTAAGGTAGCGACGGCGATAATCATCCGGTATGGCAAACTAATCGTTAAGAGAATTCAATAATAATATTAAGTCGTACGCATGCTATTCCATCATTGGCAAGTCATGTATTACTGCATTATCTTATCGCTACTAAAAAGAGTAGTTGAGAAGAGCTTAGAGAATAATTTTATAACGTTTTATCCTAGAAAGCCGAAACCATGAATGTAAGCAAGTATTAACATAGTTATATTTAGCTGAAAGCAGCTCGATTTGTAGTTTTAGTTCAGTCCGTGAATGCTATTGCGACACTTACTCAAACATTTCTTGTTCCTTTTCAGTTTCAGTATTGCCATTATCTAGTGGGAAAGTCAATAAAGATCATAAGCGACATAAAGCTATTTGATCGATATTGCCAATGTAGTAATCTAACAGTATGAACACTTGAAAGTATTACCACTTGAGGCTTCCTTCATGTCTCGCTTTTCAAATAATACAGGGCAACATCTAACGGCGATAGAGGCTTTTTGACCTGATAATAAGCACACTACGGGTCTAACAGATACCAAATTGAAAAAAAGAAAGTTGTAGTTCGGTTAGCAAATCAATGCTTATTATACAAATCTTTCTAATTTATGTAGTACATTATGACATCTTAAATTTAGGCTTGCAGTTTCTCTCATACTTTGACATAGAATTCCTAGTAAATATAAATGTTGTATTTTTCATATCGTCTTTGTCTTCAATCTGGCCAGCTAAAAATGAAAATAATATCTGTTAGTAGTTGCTCATACCGAACAGCATAATGAGATAAAACGCGTGTATACAAGAATGTAAATTGCAGGGTGTAACTTAACAGTAATATATACATTTATCATACTCAGGAATGTCTCTATATACTTTATTTGAGTTACCTGGAACTACCATAAGCTTTCCATCAGGAGAAAAGTTAGGCCGTCTAAAGAACGTTTGTAGTGTTTCCTCATGGAATATTCTGTAATACTTGCGTTTTGTCTGTAAGTGAATATGTAGAAATAGTTTCATCTTTTATCAATATGCGTATAATAACGTAATCAGATACAAAAGTATACATCAAGACTATATCTTTTAGGCTGTTATGGTCGCCAACGCTAGCATCTATATTCTTGATCGTCCGAGATCGTATACGAGTACAAGTCAACATTAAAAAGTATAAGTTGATCAATTACATCTACATTTCATACCTCTCCATCTTTTAATGGACGAGATGAAGGCAATTTGCTGATATTATACAAAGATCGTTGTTTCTCCATTGAATATACACGACAGCTACGATCGCTGGATAAAGTCATAAAATACTGATTTAGAGGGTCCCAAGATACTCCCTGGACATAATGTGTGTGTTCTTTTAAAATGTTTAATTTTTGGCCTATCGTGACACAATGAAATGGATTAGAATCCTGTCTATGACACCATAATTTAGAAAAAGTCAATCTAGTTATCTTCTCACATTTATCAACATCCCATACAATGGCTGAATTGTCTACTGATCCAGAAATTAGCCTAGTTGCATCGCGTGACCATGCAATATCATAAACGTCTTCCAAGTGTCCTCTGTGATACCATAAAGCCAAAATTAGTCCATTAGTGAACATTGTATTATCAAGCTGCAAACTGATTTAGCAGCTTCCACGGTATGATGATATAATGTATATAAATGGTTACAGTATTAATGTTTCTTTGATTCATACTCATAGCATATCTGGGATAATAACCTTAAGATTTTACTGACTGTCCAGCTTTCGCGTACTTCTAAATCCTCCGATTCAAGATAACATTTATCACTACCATAATTTTCGGCTAATTTCCAAATTATAATCGTTCCATCTAAGTTTATTTAAGATTAGAAAATGGAAACTAAGAAGAAATTCTTCCAAGTTAATAAGTTAAATTGCCGTTATTCCTTTCTAATAAATAGAGTGAATTATTATTTGTTACGATTAATATGTATGGCTAAAAGTGTCTTACCGTCACTTCCAGAAGCCAAGAAATCCGTTGTTGAAAATCTGACGACGTTGACAGTTTTAGTATGGCGAGATAAGTTAGAAAGAAATTCTGTAGTAATGTTGCCATCTTCGTCTTGATCTACTTTCCATATCTAGACGAAAGTAAAAGTATCATTGGATTAAAACTATCGCAACGACCTGAATCTCCGTTATGGTTCCATAGTTATTCGGTTTGGGTAAGATTAATCATAATAAAGACGCATAAGAGGCAAGACTGTAGACTATCTCTACTTCAACAGACACATCCAATTACGGGACGTTATACTCGTATGAAATTTCTTCAGAAACTGCAAGTTGCTATGGCAATCATTATAAAGATATAGTAGACAACTACCGTAGCAGTTGAATGATGTCCATTTTGCATAGCTTTTCGCTGATAGCCGAATGCAAAACTTTGCATTGGTTTTAGAAGGTTCTTTTGATCGCAGTAGAGTGCAGGGATAATAACTAGGCTTATATACTTGAATCAATGAACCGTAACCAATGTTGCCATAACACTAGATGACTTTGTATTGGCAATTATATAAGGTTCTACAGATAGTAGATCATTACATTGAATATTTGTGCTATAGCTGTGATATCAAGAGTTCATTGTTAGAGTATATATGGATAATACAAAGTGAATTGTATGCTAAGCGTAAGGCGCATCAAAAATAAATCATTCCAACAGGAATAGATCAGAACAATTTAGTATCGAGAATCAAACACTTCAATGCTGTCTATTTTACTTATGCATTCTTATATTCTGTTATTACTCATGCAATAGAATCAAGCCAATTGTACATAATACACTGACAGTTGATGTGTGCTAATTCAAGAGTGGCTTTCAACTTGTATATCGATTGGATGGTGAGTAGTGAAAAAAGTTGCAGCCATGACATCACCACTGCTAGCCGGGATAGGATCTTGTTGATCAAGATGCTATTATCCCTTCCAATAGTCTTATAAAAATCATTTTCCTTCCCACCATGATTACCTTAATATCTGCATCCCCTCCAGCCGATGCTAAACGCCATAAAGAATTGCTAGCTTGACTAAAATCGATACTAAAGATGGGCTCTTTACCATGCCAAGCAATTTCTGGTGTGGAAACCTTCATGTTGTTTTCCTATCTCACATTCTTTCTGCCTTGGTTTATTTCCCGCCAAGCGCTTTTATACCCAGCCCTTACAGTACTTTACACTTTCACGAAGGAATCGAAGGACTGTAGCCAGGAGAGTACAGTATATAGTACTGTAATTTTCGGATCGTTTGGCCTAGAATACAGTTTCTATGGATTAGGGAATGACTGATGAAATGAGTCTTGTTTAGCACCCAATATTAACTGCAAGGTTGCCTTTGCGCAGTATGGTAGTATGATGCACGGTTACAGTTATAGCGTATAGTAAAATGACCAGTTAAAATAGTCAAACTATACATTTCTAATTGCGGCATAGCAAGCCTGTAAAATGGCTGAAAGAAGTGTTGCTATACTGCAGTATTGCCTTCATGAATTAAATGATATCTTTCAAATTTGAAGAAGTCTGCTTTAAATTGAGCTCAAATTTCTCGCAGACAGATCAGTATTACAGAGGCGTAGAGAACCCTGTAGAATGGTTTGCTATACTGCAGTATTGCCTTCATGAATTAAATGATATCTTTCAAATTTGCAGAAGTCTGCTTTAAATTGAGCTCAAATTTCTCGCAGACAGATCAGTATTACAGAGGCGTAGCGAGCCCTGCAGAATGGCTTGCTATACTGCAGTATTGCCTTCATGAATTAAATGATATCTTTCAAATTTGCAGAAGTCTGCTTTAAATTGAGCTCAAATTTCTCGCAGACAGATCAGTATTACAGAGGCGTAGCGAGCACTGTAGAATGGTTTGCTATACTACAGTATTGCCTTCATTAATTAAATGATATCTTTCAAATTTGCAGAAGTCTGCTTTAAATTGAGCTCAAATTTCTCGCAGACAGATCAGTATTACAGAGGCGTAGCGAGCACTGTAGAATGATTTGCTATACTGCAGTATTACCTTCATTAATTAAATGATATCTTTCAAATTTGAAGACGTTTGCTTATAATTGAGCCCAAAATTCACGCAGACAGATCAGTATCACAGAGGCGTAGCGAGCCCTGTAAAATGGTTAAAAGATATTCAGCTATACTGCACTATTGCCTTCATTAATTAAATGATATCTTTCAAATTTGAAGAAGTCTACTTTAAATTGAGCTCAAATTCTACTCAGACAGATCAGTACAACCTTAAGAGTACATGTTATATAAGATCGTTGTTACAAAGGCGTAGCGAGCCCTGTAGAATGGTTAAAAGATATTCAGCTATACTGCAGTATTGCCTTCATTAATTAAATGATATCTTTCAAATTTGAAGAAGTCTGCTTTAAATTGAGCTCAAATTCTACTCAGACAGATCAGTACAACCTTGAGTACATGTTATATAAGATCGTTGTTACAAAGGCGTAGCGAGCCCTGTAGAATGGTTAAAAGATATTCAGCTATACTACAGTATTGCCTTATTATTGTCATCATGTAGTACTTAACATATACAACATACAACTTGCATATTCCTACCTGTAAGCATATTGAATGAAAATTAAATTTCCAATAGTAAAGAATAGTTCAAAATTGTCAATCATGCATTGTGTTTCCAAGCTTAGTTGTTAACGTTGGCACAAGGGACTTTGATACACTTCACTTAGTACACGTGTCTTTTTATAGCTTTATTTTCCGATACAAAGTAATCCTTATACTGTAATTAGGTATATCATTACTCTACATCTTGGCTGATTGTATATACTTTTAAAAGTAGTAATCAATGGAAATTAAAACTGCTAGCAAGCGCTTCACAAAATATCTTAGATTGGAGGATACTGTTATGTAGATATACTATGATTAACAGATTTAATAGACTTGTAATAGCATAAGATAATACAGCTTGCAATAATACTGGCAATGGGAACAAGTAAGCCTTAATTAACAGCGCTTCGTAAGGTAAATATGAAAATATTGCCCGTAGAAGTACCATATTATAATTATGCATGAAATAGACTCGAAGGAGGGCATCCAGATAGATTTAAATCGAATTTGTGTCGGCCTTCTTTATGTGTAGCCATCTCTTTAATCGCCTACCGCGAATGCATCCCCACACAAGATGATTGCTGATAGCCAATATCTGACCAGCCATTAAGGCTGCTCCATCTGTATTCAATGAGGTACAACAACCTAATCCACTGGGTAAAGTTAGCGACGACCAAATGTCATCATGATGCCCTATCGGAGGGCAATTGATAACAGGGATAGTTGTATTTCCAGCCATGACAGGACCTAAGCCGTTGCTGCGGCCTGCTACAGCGATGAATACAGTTGGTATTTCAGTGCTTTCATAGCTAGCTAAAATACTGAGCAGTTCTTCGGTACTTTTGTGAGCTGAACTCACTCGAAGTTGATAATCAATGTGCATCTCACGTAGAGTAGTTGCAATCTTCATGCAATGTTCTCGATCGCTTTCTGATCCCATGATGATCATAACTTTGCACGATGGACTTTTCATCAATTGGTCAATTTTCTTCGCTACCCATGCATAATTGCCACGAATTTCTTCCATGGCTTGATCGGTAACTTGTTTTAGATCCCGATAAGCTTGTTTATCCTTTTGCAATCGTTTATCTCCGCTAGGCCATAATCTCCAGGAATCATTATCGATCACATCTGCAAGCAGCAATGTACCCGATGCTGAAACACCAAATTCAACCTGCGATGCAATATTTTGTCAAATATCAAGTCGGTTAATCATTTTGCTGCAGCTAGCGTATACCGATTAAAAATAAAGTATATTACAAAGTTAAAATTTATTACATTTGTAGAAAATACAGTAGAAACTTGGAGTAATTACTTAATCTTTTAGAGTCTGAAATAGGAGGACTGCACTATTAAACTTATATCTTAAATACCAAAATCGATCAATATAACAAGTTATATCAAGGCTCACCTTTAAATCAATCAAATTGCAATTTAATGTAGACCAAGCTCTTTCTAGAATCTCAAAAGTGGCAAGGGCTACTTTGGACATGATATCTATTTCATCTTTACCAATAACGACTTTGCCAGCAGTTAATTTCATATGAAGAATTTGCTCAATACTCACTAATGGGTCATGTTGAGCATCATCTTTGTAAAAGAATTCTAATTTTAGAGGTGAAAATCGATAGCCTTCTTTCACACCTTGATGCCTCTTCAGGAATGATCCTGTAGCTATCCTTCGTACTACTACCTCTAAGGGAATCATATTGCAGAAAATTGCTACAAATGAATTCTCATCATAGTGATAGCGATAATGAGTAGGAACGTCACAGTATTGTAGTAAATCAAATACGCCACATGTCGTCGCAGTACTATATTTGCCTTTAAAACTCATTTCATGAGCTCGTTGGCCATCAAAAGCAGTTATGGCGTCTTTTGAACGTAATACTACTAAATTGCAACTGGTAGGATCATCGATAGCAAAGACAACCTTAGTTTTCCCTTCGATGATTTTTCTACCAATTTTGATTTCTTTTTTGGCACAAGTATCTAGAGCAGATGAAAAGTTTTCTCATGAAGGCAGCTATGGTTCATGTACTGACGAGTATTTGTTGATGTAATCTATACCAATAATTTACGCTTAGCTATCCTATATCTAATTCAAGATAAAACATATCCTTGAATTTCTTACCTGTATCTGAACTCATCACGTCTACTGGACGATTTAATCTATTTCACACTCTCGAACTTCTTTTCTCTGTCTGCTCTCAATACAGTCTAGAACAGGTATAGAAGGGCCTAACTGATCTTTGCAAGACTCTAAATATTATTCTCACTTTGGGCTTAAACGTTCTTTCCAACTACGCTCGGTAAAATTATTACGTTAGTAGTTACACCAATATTTATGTACTTTTTGCATGACAAGCTATGATGACTTTGCTGCTTAATTAAATGCGTGTTGGTATCTGTTAGCTTAAATTAAAAACGAGAATATTGTGTACGCAAAGTAAAATTCTTAACACCAAGTAATGTCATTGTCAAGTTGAATATTATTATCACTAATTGTAATTAATAAATGACACAAGGCGGTGCCTTTTGAAATCTATCGCCTATTTCGTGCAATTTACTTTTACTGATCATTTATTGGGATATTAGAGAAATATTTGATATAGCAGCCAGTTTTTTACAGCTTAATACAGTGCAACAGTAGCACACATATCATCAACAATTCACGAAGCTCTCTATCGAAATACTATACTTATAAATGATGGAACTAGACGGCATTTGTAGTTTGCATATTTATTTATTTACAACAATAATTGGTTACTACGCTCCTTTATTTGATTGAATTTAATTCAGAGCAATTACCTAAATTATACTAGGCTTAGCAGTTACTGATTTCTTACTAGCTTTCCCAGAAGGACTGAGAATAAAATACTATTGTTTTGCAAGCGAATAAAATAGAAGAAAAACTTGGATATGATTCTCAGCTAAAAGTGTGTAACTAATCTGCACTACGAAGGATTTTATGATAGCATTTATTAGCTAAAATTTCAATCAGTGACTTCTAACTATTACTATTAGTAGACTATTAAAAATAATAAAATAATTCGCCATTGCCTATTAAGTATGATTAAGGGCTCAGCAAAAGCATGCATTCGGAAATATATAAGAATAAGAAAAATATGCGTAAGAATATCATAGACTCATGATTGGTATAGATGAAAAAAGTATATATATTCAATAAGGTGTCGATATATCCCGCATTGCATCTATTCGTCATTCACACCTTGGATATATATTATTTGAGCTAACACCTTCACGGATTTTGAGCATTAGTCCCTTTTCGTAAAAGCCTTATTTACTGGAGCTACATTACAATATCAATCTATACTCTCCTATACATGTTTACTATCGAACATAATAAAAGTTTTGTATATGGCGATATAAGGCAATCAATTAGATTCTGTGAGGGTTTATAATTACCAGGGAGAGTTAAAACCATCTCGATAGGACCGTTTACTAATTACCCCCTCCCCCAAAAATGTCCTTTGTAAAGCATCGCTCATGAAGTTAAGGAAGCATGAGAGAGCAGCAATAGGTATTATTTTGATTGTCACTATAAAATATTATTAGTATAAGATTTTTAAGTCTTACAGCATCGATGCATTGTAACTTTGCTATCACCTATTTCGATTCTGTATAGAGCCATCATCAATTTTTTTACCATTAATTATAAGTAACTATTTCATCATATTTCGCGATATTGTTTACCTACTTGACAGATACTACACCACATTAAGTCAGAGAAAAAGGACGGATTCGTTGGCTAAAAAAGGATAAATCGTATTAACTGTAAACTTAGATTTGTCTTTTGGAGAATTCGTTTTCCTAACGTGAGTGCACATAGAAATCTAATATTCTCAAAGTAATTGTATGTGAATATCGTAGTTTTTGTTCATTGAAGTGAATTACTACATAGCTAGATTGAAAAGTAATGGCTGCCATTAGAGAAGATTAGTCCACTATCAAAATCATACTATTTAGTCAATGTATTATAGTTTACTGTAAACTAGAAAAGGAAACTGCAGCCTTCAGAAAGAGATTAGATTCATTATAAAAATAAAGATTTTATTACATCATGGATCAGCTAATCATCAATTACGGAATATGAGTATGGTGAATGATTAATTAAGAAAATACAACCTTGTAATAGTGTTATATAATTATGAAATACTACTTAAAATGCTATACTTCTTTAACGTTTTATATTACTATATTATATAATAATAGATAGTTTGATGGATTAATTTCAGGATTTATAATAGATATGGAATTACACGAGGCTTGCGGTGTATTTGGTGTATTAGCCAAAGAGCCTTGCGTAAAAATTGCTGAAGTAATATATCATGGACTAATTGGGCTACAACACAGGTAATGGAATTACTTTATTTCTCAAATTTAAACTAATGCCTGAAATTAATAAACTATTTATGTAAATAATTAGATTGCAGATTTTGCTAGCATTGACAGGATGCTTTCTTCGACAATAGATAGTTATGTCATTTAGTATCTGCGTGTATACAAACGGCTAAGCTAGAAAGAATAATTCATAAATTACATAGGATTATCTTATATTGCTAATGCTTATAGGGGTCAAGAGAGTGCGGGAATGATTATTAGTGACGGCACAACCATGAAAGAAATCAAAGGAATGGGTTTGGTAAGTCATATTATGACTGATGAAATGATGGATCGACTGTCTGGAGGGAAGCTAGGAATTGGACATACACGTTATTCCACGCAAGGTGCTTCAGATCTAGCTAATTGTCAGCCAATATCTACGGAGACATTTAGGGGCAGAATTGCTCTTGCTCATAATGGGCAACTGATCAATAAAGATCATTTGAGGAATCAATTATTATCGCAAGATATTAAATTAACCACAGAGAGCGATAGTGAAATTATACTGAAAATATTAGCTGCCATTATGCTGAAATATAGCAATTACGATCCAGAATCAGCTGATTGGATGAAAGTTATTGAAGAATTTATGAACCAAAGTGTCTTGTCTTATTCTTTCATCATGATGACCCGTGATCGTTTATATGGAGTTCGAGATCCTTATGGAAATAGGCCACTTTGTATTGGAAGATTCCATGCTGAAGGTGATACTACTAGAACGATGGGGTGGATTTTATCATCGGAATCTTCACCATTTCTCTCCATTTCAGCCAAACTATGGCGAGAAGTTCAACCAGGTGAAATTGTGTGCTTACATCTAAGTGATAATGGCGACGAGAACTTGATATCTCATCCAAATCAAAATTGTACGAATAAGTTAGCATCGTGCCTTTTTGAATATGTATATTTTTCAAGATCTGACACTATTTTGGAAAATCAAATGGTCTATTCTGTCCGATTTCGATGTGGTCAGTTACTCGCTATAAAAGCTCCAGTTTATAACGCTGACTTGGTTAGTTGCATCCCCAACTCTTCTACACCAGCTGCTCTAGGCTATTCCATACAGTCTACAATTCCCTATGTACAAGTTTTGATCAGAAATACGTATGTTGGTCGAACTTTTATCCAGCCAAATCATCAAACCAGACAATCCAGCATTAAAAGAAAATTTGGGCTATTAACGGAGAATATTTTGGGGAAGAAAATAATCCTGATTGATGATTCGATAGTTCGTGGTAATACGATTATTCCATTAATTCAAGCATTAAAATCAGCAGGTGCTAAAGAGGTGAGACAGAATAATAAGCTACGATTTAAAAATTTTGCAATGTTAGTTACATTAATCTACAAAATTATTGTAGAATTTTGAAGACTTTTCTAGACATGTCGTATTATATAGGCTATATCTTGTCTAGCAAGTCAAAGCAGTCACAAAGTATAAGATGTTTAAACTTTACAATTGATTCGATATCTAAATTTAAAATAACACAGATCCATATTCGTGTTGCTTCTCCACCAGTCCGCCATCCTTGCTTTATGGGTATCGACATTCCTACTCAGGATGAATTAATTGCTAATAAAGTTGCTAGCTTGACTCAACTGGCTAAAAAACTCGATGCCGATAGCGTAGAATATCTCTCATACCAAGACTTATTGCTAGCAGTGCAAAACGGTCAGCATTCTAAAGGCGAAATGTAGATACTTTATTACTTTAAGTGAGTAGTCAGTGAGCTGGCAAATAGGTAGTGATACTGAGTATGCCTACGAATATGCTACAATAACCAGCGTACTTTACTTTAATACTTGAGTTAGAGTTACATTTTAGAATTACACATTACTATTAGATATGTACTTTACTGATTGCTTTATCATCAAAGGTATTGGAGATAATAGTCACAGGCGCGGATATTGCAGTGCCTGCTTTACTGGAGAATATCCCGTATCCTTGGATTGGTGAAAATGGAGATGCTACTTTTAAGATAAGCAACTAGTCGATGGCAAGAATAATAGTCTGGCTGAATGATTTTTAATGGGACTCTAACTGTGATTGGAATACAACGAGTCTTTTCGATGTAGCTAGGTATAGCAATATTAATTAAAAGTATAATATGCTCAAAAGACGCCGTTTTACCGTTCTTCTTCCAGCCAGAACAGTCACATTTTCCCTTAATTTATCGCAACAGTGATATATAACCCTCATATACGTTAGAGTTAAGTTATATTAATATACGAGATTAATTCCTACTGGTAACATTGCAATCTTAATTCCATGCATTGGTACGTAAAGGGTATTTATTGAATTGATATATTGGCTATTGTCTGATGGTTTTTATTACTGTTTCGTGCTTGATCGATGATATGATGATGCTTGATTGTTAATCTGCTAATGATTTGAAAATATGGTTTTAATAATGTAAGTAACAGTATAACCATTACAAATGCAAAGCCCTACTTCAAGGTATCAAGATATGTAATTGAAAACGCTTACAATAGAAGTGATGCTATATCATAATAACTTTATATCTGTAGATATCGCTATTAATAATTATCGATTGTAGGTCAATGTTTCAACCTGTAAAGAATGCCAAAATGGCTTTTTTTTAAGCAAATATGCATAAACCAAATTTCGATATGATTGATACGCGTTCGTAGGATTTTTTGCATGAATTAACACTGAATTTATTATGTTACTTTATAGCATCGCATATTAAGGACTATAAATTGATATTTTAAGATTTAGATATTGCTTCAGAATATATTAGATTAACTAAAAAAAGTTCCTACGCTTAGATTACAAAGGGACTATGTAAATACTGAAAGTGTTTGTGAAATATGTACAGCATTTAAAATTTGCTAATACCAGTATGTATATCGATAAGAATAAATGTCAGATGCAATTAGTAGGTACAATTGTACGATAAATATATGTCACGGGCGATACATATTGTACAATTTGTAAAATTCAAATAAATTATAATATTCCATATAGGCATTAGTACCGTATGTCCTAGTACATTTCTTAAGAAAAAAGGCTAAATTTTGTTATCGTACGGCGTTAGCAAGAATAATATATTAGCTGGTCATATCTGCTCACTATTGCCGTGTCTTTTATAATACAGTACATACATTAAATCATTCAATAGCTTCCAAGAAAATTAAGTAATCATATTTCATTCGCGTTTTTGACGGCCATTTCCGGCTCGTTCTTGTAGCACATTAAGTATCCTTGAAGTGCAGCCATGCTAACATTCTTCTTTGCAGAGGTGACATTTTTGCTAAAATGAGTAAAAATGTAAACGTTCTGTCAAAAAATAGCCTATGCAAATTCAACGGATCAAAGATTGATAATTTTATTTTCTAATTTCATTTGCCCTCAATTTAAGGTTAACGAATAAGTGTTTCGCCACGTCAGTGTTACCATTAGCACGTATACTTACACAAACGTATTTGCCAATTCTCCACTATCGGGAAAGAATCTATTAAACATTCGAACCATTTGATTTGCATCTGCGTCGCCAAGATAGCATTTCATATCGACACGTCCTGGACGAATAAGGGCTGGATCTAGTCTATCGATATGATTTGTGGTCATAAAAACTAGCCTCTGTTCCGATGACGCCACACCATCAAGAGCGTTCAATAAGCCGCTTTTATGTATTGAAAATGAACACAAATGCAATGTCCAAGGTTACATCATACAGCCACATGGTAATTAGTAACTAGGCCAAAAAGTAGCAGCAATACATACCTAAAGGTTACACCCGTTACAAAGCCTTTTGCAACGCTAGCAGCATCTCTTTTCATGAATGCCACGTCAATATCTTCCAGGAGTACAATACTTTGATGTGGAACCGTACTAAGCGATTGAATCAGACTAAGGCAAGATAAGCAGTTTAGAGTTATTAAAAAATGAATAAAACGTATACTGTAGATGAAAGATAAATCAGATCCATTCACTACCGCAGTATGACAAGATTGCGAATTACATTTATAGATTAATGAACCAAGTTTATTTCTGATACATATTTGCAACAAGTACTCACCTATCATCCGTCAAGCCACGCTGTGAGAGATTTAAGATACAAATATTATAATCTAATTCACCAGCAACAGCAGTTATAAAACTAGTTTTTCCACTTCCAGGTGGCCCATAAAGTAAATAACCACGTCGATAAGGGATCCCTACAATTATCGATTTCATTACAAGCGCACTAATTGAACAGATGTATTCCTACACTAGTTAGGCTTTATGTTATAGCTAACCATAATATCAGATTAAGAATATACCCATACGTATATTGTACAGTCTCATAAGGAATCACAAATCTCAACTAAGCCTACTGATTTTTCTACCTCTTGTACGATACCAGTTTGTATTTGTTAAAAAATCGTGAATATCATCCATGATTTTTTCAGCTAGTCCATCTTGTAAGATGACAGACTTGATATTTCTCTTGAGCCTTGGAAGACCGAATGGTCTCCATTCTGTGCCCCAGCTAGTATAAATTACAGTCTTGCCTTCATTTAATGACTCCGCTCTAAGTTTAGCTTCGTATAAAAAGTTCTCAAATAATTTCAAATCTTTTCCAATAGCTGTGAAAGTGACCGTTTCGAATGGCACACCATTTGTTAGATCAAGCATTTGCTTTTCTCGTATTCGTTCTACACTTAACCAATTGCCTTTATAACGGATGAAATGTCTACCAGGGCAAGGTGAATATGAAAATTCTGTGCTAAAACTATAAGAGAAAGCGATCTTGAATGTTATGTAAAAATCTTATTTGTCCTATAGCATAGCAGGTATAATATGCTAGCCAGAACTGTAAACAATATTATTTTTGCCATCTATACTGTTCTATCTATGAAGGGTTTTTTAAATTTCAATAAGCAAAACTACTGTCTATAGCACAAGACTTATAAGGTATGAATGCTTTACAGAAATAGAAGTCACAAGGGCATTGATTATCCTTACTCTAAATCAATAAGCAGTCAGTGAGCGTGAATTCTTAGCAACTCTGCAAATCCTTATCTTACGCCATTGTACAATTTTAAGCAAATTTACAAATTCGAGCAACCAACTGCTATTCTCGTGGTAGGGTAAATAATGAAGGAAACGCGCTACGTAAAGTCGAAGAGCTGATAGGTTATCGTTTCGGTAGATTACTAACCAAGTTCTATGCAAGTTTCGCATTGTACAAGTGCCTGAATCTGGCGATAATCATGGAATCTAAAGATAATCATCCATACCGTTGTGTCTATGAATGATTATGCATGAGTTGACAGAATGATAGAATTACTACTATCTTGGTATAGCAAATTGTGAGCTAGATGAGTTGATAAGCAAGATAGTAAGTAATAAGGTTTACGACATCGATGTCCATCATGCATGCAAATTAAAATCTATACTGTCGTGTTCGTTGCTGATACATCACTATTGATTAGTTTGAGGCATCCCCAAATTATCATTACTGTAGATGCATCTACGGCTATATTTACTCATTAGAAGAATCACTAGAAATATTACTCTTTCAAGTACACACACGCTAATGCATAGGCATTGAAAACTATCGTAAAAGATGGACGAATTGGAGAATTGATTGATGTATTTTGTATCCTTGCAGTTTTCCATCACAAGCATAGGATAGTATGTATCACCCTTGGAAGAATAGCTAATTTACATGATTGATTGGTTAACATCACCGTACGATGAGATAAAGTATTGGAGCTACATAAGCTAAAAATGAATTATATCCAGTATTTCTACATTCATTTCTACCCTAGCTTACCGTCCATTAGCTAGTTGAATCGATTTGGTTTGGACAGTAACATGTTGAGTTTTGCTGCCTTGCTCAGTAATCCATTGCAAAACCCATGGGTAACTTGGATCCTTACTGGTAACTTCAAGTGTTCGCAATAGATTTCGTTTGGCCAGTACTAAACTTCCTTGCAATCCTTTCCTCAACATTGTAATGCCTAGACCGATTCCAGCTAGGCCAAAACCTGCTGAAAAATAGGGATTATCACCTAAAGCCTCCAACATGGTGGTGCAGATTAATGAAGAAGAAGCTCGACGAGATGACTGATGCAAGCTTGCACAATCGCCAGTCACAGTTATACACAACCGGAACCAGATTCTGCCAGTCTGATTTATTTACCGTATCAGTGTATTGCGCTATTGTACTCTATTTTGACTGGGATTCAATCTTGTAGCGCCAACATCTACTTTATTATTACTATTTTATATGACAGTGCCCTGCTGTCGGTGGATTTGTATGTGCCAACAGACTACTGCTATACTATATCCTTCTTTCGACATCAGCTTTAGCAATATAGTTTGATATAGAATTCATTTGATAGGTGTTGAAAAGTATGAAAGAGGTCAAGTCATGCTCTAACTTAGGAATCGACGCTATATCCTTATTTTGACGTTAGCTATAGTAATATAGCTTGATATAGAATTCATCCAATAGCTGTTGAAAAGTATGCAATGAGGTCAAGTCTTGCTCTAACCTAGCAATCGACTCTATATCCTTATTTTGACATCAGCTATAGCAATATAGTTTGATATAGAATTCATGGAATAGGTATTGAAAAGTATGCAATGAGGTCAAGTATTGCTCTAACCTAGCAATCGACTCTATATCCTTATTTTGACATCAGCTATAGCAATATAGTTTGATATAGAATTCATGGAATAGGTATTGAAAAGTATGCAATGAGGTCAAGTCTTGCTCTAACCTAGCAATCGACGCTATATCCTTATTTTGACATCAGCTATAGCAATATAGTTTGATATAGAATTCATTTGATAGGTGTTGAAAAGTATGCAATGGGGTCAAGTCTTGCTCTAACCTAGCAATTGACGCTATATCCTTATTTTGACATCAGCTTTAGCAATATAGTTTGATATAGAATTCATCCAATAGGTATTGAAAAGTATGCAATGAGGTCAAGTCTTGCTCTAACCTAGCAATCGACGCTATATCCTTATTTTGACGTCAGCTATAGCAATATAGTTTGATATAGAATTCATTTGATAGGTGTTGAAAAGTATGAAAAGAGGTCAAGTCTTGCTCTAACTTAGGAATCGACGCTATATCCTTATTTTGACATCAGCTATAGCAATATAGTTTGATATAGAATTCATTTGATAGGTGTTGAAAAGTATGCAATGAGGTCAAGTATTGCTCTAACCTAGCAATCGACTCTATATCCTTATTTTGACATCAGCTATAGCAATATAGTTTGATATAGAATTCATTTGATTGGTGTTGAAAAGTATGCAACGAGGTCAAGTCTTGCTCTAACCTAGCAATTGACGCTATATCCTTATTTTGACATCAGCTTTAGCAATATAGTTTGATATAGAATTCATGGAATAGGTATTGAAAAGTATGCAATGAGGTCAAGTCTTGCTCTAACCTAGCAGTCGACGCTATATCCTTATTTTGACGTCAGCTTTAGCAATATAGTTTGATATAGAATTCATTTGATAGGTGTTGAAAAGTATGCAACGAGGTCAAGTCTTGCTCTAACCTAGCAATCGACGCTATATCCTTATTTTGACATCAGCTATAGCAATATAGTTTGATATAGAATTCATTTGATAGGTGTTGAAAAGTATGCAATGAGGTCAAGTCTTGCTCTAACCTAGCAATTGACGCTATATCCTTATTTTGACATCAGCTATAGCAATATAGTTTGATATAGAATTCATTTAATAGCTGTTGAAAAGTATGCAATGAGGTCAAGTCTTGCTCTAACCTAGCAATCGACTCTATATCCTTATTTTGACGTCAGCTATAGTAATATAGTTTGATATAGAATTCATTGAATAGGTGTTGAAAAGTATGCAATGAGGTCAAGTCTTGCTCTAGCTTAGGAATCAACGCTATGTCCTTATTTTGACGTCAGCTATAGTAATATAGTTTGATATAGAATTCATTTAATAGCTGTTGAAAAGTATAGAAGGAGGTCAAGTTTTTGCATGCATCCAGCTCTACTATGTTATGTTTTAGAAATGAGTTCACTTCGTCAATAAGATTTGTAACTGCAATTTATTATTAATGATCGGTATTGACAGCTACATGAGGTTGCACCTCGATACCATTACAATTTATACTTCGCACTATAATTAGTAAATTATCAGTCTGCCTTTTACAACGGTAGCACCTACAGTGTCACAAGTACTACCATACAATTATCAGATAGGTACATATACTGGATAGTGTTTCTAACTAATTGTATAACATACTAGCTACCGATAAAATTTTACTCCAGAATCCTTGTACATGATTGCATTATACGCTAAAGTTTCTGCATAGATCTAGCTCTTCTAATTAACGATAAAATTGTAACTTAGGCCATAGATAAGGAAATGTTGTTAAACTCGTTTACTTAAGAGGGCAAGGACGAAAATGTTTGAAAGTCAAAGTTTCTGCATGCATAGCTCTACTAATTACCGATAAAATCTTATTCCAGAATCCTTGTACATGATTGCATTGCACACTAAAGTTTCTGCATATCTCTGGCTCTTCTAATTAACGATAAAATTGTAACTTAGACCATGAGTAAGGAAGCGTTATTAAATACGTTTATTTAAGAGGGCAAAGAACGAAAAAATTTGAAAGTAAAAGTTTCTGCGTATATCTAGCTCTACTAATTACCGATAAAATCTTTCCCCATAATCCATATACATGATTGCATTGTACGCTAAAGTTTCTGCATAGATCTTGCTCTTCTAAATAACGATAAAATTGCAACTTAGACCATGGGTAAGGAAGCGTTATTAAATTCGCTTAATTAAGAGGGCAAAGAACGGAAAGGTTGGAAAGTAAAAGTTTCAGCATACACCCAGCTCTATTAATTACCTATAAAATCTTACTCCATAATCCGTATACATAATTGCACTATTCAGTAGCTAGTCTGCAGGAAACTGGTGCGATACCGTCGTAGTTCGGCAATAAAACTATTTATTTATTTACTAACTGATCTATAAAGGTGCTGGCAATTACTGTAAATGCTCATGCTGCGACGTAAGATCGCAACACATAAAAAGCAGAAAGGCTTAAAATCATATTAGAATTAAAGTTGCACTGTACATCTATTATATTATTATTTAAATAGATGATCAGGCCAATATTTGCACAGTGTTATTAATACAGTACAGTAGATTAACCTTCTGTTTAATTCGAAATCCAATACTCTGAAGATAGGCAACCAAAAATCAGTGAGTTACAAAGAGCAAATACTCGTATGCCTTGCAGAATGTCGTTTTCAAAATAATATTATGAAATTTAGATAATCAAGGAAACCTTGCAAGGTTACAAGGTATAATCTTGTATGAGGTTCCTCAAATTAGATATACTTCATATAGGAATGAATAAGCATCAGGTTTAGATCTTTCAAATAATTAAACTAGACTTTATTTTACTTCGCGGATAAAAGATATGTACATAGAGAAGATTTTTTGCTCCTTCTGCACATGCGAAGTGCAAAATTAAATTCTAACAATAAACACAATATCGTTCGTGACTGAAACATGATTACATGTGTATATATAGTCCAAAGATATCCTTATTATCGTTTATTATCGGGGTATGCATTGTAGATAAAAGAAATATCAACGGCTTGGAGCTGTTATTCTAATTCTTTCTTTTAGCTTTTCTAATTCTTTTAAATAGGTTGTCACTTGCATCAACTGCCTTTATATGCAGGTAACTATGAATTTTACAATTAATTACCTTATCATTGTTGCACGATCCATTTTTCCGCTTTTAATCCTTCCGTAAGCATATTAATAAATAAACAGATAAAAACATAGAAATATGACTAGATCAGTTATAATTGCCATAAATGTAATTAACGCGGCAAGTTTCTGATAAAATTCGAGGGAAGGAAATCTTTTATCCATTTTAATTTGACGATACTCAAAAACTAGAGGTCTTTTATCTGATAGTTAAAAAATTTGTTGACTGCAATTTAATTCATAAATTAACGGCAGCTGAATATTTATCTACAGCCACGGGTTCAAATAAGTTACGTAGCTCAGCATGAAGAGTAGATCTATTTCGCGATACTCATATTTATTTCAGAAGAGCTATTATTCAGTACGTGACTAACCTCTACGCAGTAAGACTGTTCTACTATCATGACCTGAATGTTAATACTCTATCCAGAAGATATGTCAATAGTTTGTCTAGAGTTAGTCTAATTAAAACTTAGACTAGATTACAGTCATACTTTTAATCGTTTAATATGCAATTGATGTCTGCTGCACTAGCATTATAATTGGTTGGATAAACGTTCGTATTAATTGTTTTACATCATATTAAATTAAATTATTCTCAACGGATGAAAAAGAGAATTGGTTTGACCTTTATCTATGATGCGGAAATTAAATTAATCAAGTCACGATTCCTAATTCGATCGGTTAATTAGCATACTCCCCAATGTTGTTACAATAATATTTTATGCCTTTTCGTGACCGACTTGACTATGATATAATATGTTCTGTCAATTTTATTTTTGATTGTATTGTACCGATTAACAATAAATAATAAATCAGATTGTAAACAATATGTTATTGAAAATTGATCAAAATACCCATCACACCATAAAGTTGCCTCATAAGGATCTTAAGTGCAATCGGGAAAAATTAAAATATATAAGATTTATTAATCTTATTTTACCATTGCTTCATTACATTTATTTTTATATATTAAGGAAATAAAATTATAGTTGCAAATTTAATATAGCCCATCATTCTTAATATGAAAATTATTTCAGCTTTAATTGTGATAGGGCTGTCTTCAGTTACTTGATCATAAAACAAATAGTTGCAAAGTATATCAACATCTATATTTTCATTTAGAATACTATCAGAAATTTGATTGCATTGAGCAACTGCTTTATTGCAATTACTGTAATTGAATTTATCAACATATCCCTTAATTTTTTTGTTTAGTTTGATTCTGGCTTATATTTTAATTAAAAGATATAATTGATCTGTCTAATAACTACTTAGAAATGAATTATAAT